TGTGTGTGCGTGTTTGTGTGAGTATGCGTTGTACGTCGGGGCTCGGTGTTCGGAGGATGTCTCGGGCGAGACTACATTTAAGCCGGGCCTGTCCATCTGCAGGGGGAATGTTCAAAAATAGTCCAAACATAGTTTGGGAACGGCATGCTTTGATTATTGTGGGGTATTTTTTGACTATGTTTTAGTTTTCTGCCAAATCCCCTTGTAGGGGACACGCCCGACCTAAAACTACATCTGGTTTAATGATATGTTTGAGAGGGGGCTCGATTTTTGGAGGAAGTCTCACGAGAAACTAGAAGTTTCGAATCATCAGGCTCCGAATCATTGAATTCCATGTCGTTGCTGAAGGCTTTATGTGAAGCTTGTTGACAATGGAGGGAGGGAGGGAGGGAGGGGAGGGAGGGAGGAGGGAAGGGAGGGAGGTGGTGAGGGAGGGGGAGGGAGGGAGGAGGAGGAGGAGGAGGAGGGAGGGAGGCTGGGAGGAAGGAGGAGGAGGGGGGAGGGAGGTCGAGCATATGGGGAGGGGAGGGGCTGTGATGATGATGATGATGCTGTGATGATGTGATGATGATGATGATGATGTGATGAGATGATGATGATGATGTTGATGATGTTGATGATGATGATGATATGATGATGTGTGATGGTGATGCTGATGCTAGATGCTGAAGATGCTGGTTGATGATGATGATGATGATGATGTGATGTGATGATGATGATGATGATGAGGTTGAGGAGGAGGAGGAGGAGGAGGAGGTGGCGGAGGGCGGAGAGGAGGAGGAGGAGGAGTAGGGGAAGGAGGAGGAGGAGGAGGGAGGAGGAGGAAGACGAGGAGGAGGAGGAGGAGGAGGAGGAGGAGGAGAGGAGGAGACGGAGGAGAGGGAGGAGGAGGAGGAGGAGGAGGAGGAGGAGGAAGAGGAGGAGGAGGAGGAGGAGGAGGGGGAGGAGGAGAGAAGGAGAGAAGGAGAAAGAGTGGGAGGAGGGGGAGGAGGAGGAGCAGGAGGAGAAGGAGGAGGAGGAGGAGGAGACTGAGGAGGAGGAGACTGAGGAGGAGGAAGGAGGAGTAGGAAAGAAAAGGACGAGGGGCGACGAAGGACGGGCAGCGGCGTTGGTCACATGTTGCACTCGCGTGTGTGCTTATGTGGTATGTGGGGTTTGCGTCATTTGTTATGTATGTTGTGTGCGTGTGTTGTGTGTTGTGTGTGCTTGTGTGGCTACGTTGTCTGAGTTGTTTGTGGGTCGTCTGTGCTCTGCGAATTATGTATGCTAGGTGTTGTTGGTGTGCCTTTTGTGTGTGTGTTGCTCATGCTGTGTGTGTTGTGTGTGCATTGTGTGTGTTATTGTGCGGGTGGGTGTGTCATGTGCGTATCTTAAGTGTGTTGTAGGTGTTCTGTGTGCTCTGTTTGCGCGTGAGTGAGTGTGTGTGTGTGTGTGTCTGGTGGTGTGTGTGTGCGTGTTTGTGTGAGTATGCGTTGTACGTCGGGGCTCGGTGTTCGGAGGATGTCTCGGGCGAGACTACATTTAAGCCGGGCCTGTCCATCTGCAGGGGGAATGTTCAAAAATAGTCCAAACATAGTTTGGGAACGGCATGCTTTGATTATTGTGGGGTATTTTTTGACTATGTTTTAGTTTTCTGCCAAATCCCCTTGTAGGGGACACGCCCGACCTAAAACTACATCTGGTTTAATGATATGTTTGAGAGGGGGCTCGATTTTTGGAGGAAGTCTCACGAGAAACTAGAAGTTTCGAATCATCAGGCTCCGAATCATTGAATTCCATGTCGTTGCTGAAGGCTTTATGTGAAGCTTGTTGACAATGGATGTGTGTTTTGGACCGTGACATCGCGATCTGCGTGAGGGACACGCCCGATGTTCAGAATGTTGAGGATGTCCCGAGCGGCACGGCCAACACACACGTAGAAGCGCGGCTTCAATTCATCGGCTCTGAGCTTTCACTCCCTCCGAGAGGTGCGCACGAGCATGATCTGTTCTCTGCCGTCCCCTCCCCCAAGGGCGGTGCAGCGCGAGCGTGGGAGCGCGCGGTGAAAGCGTGGACCGGAGGCTGAAGGCATCATGGTTACATTGTTCGCACGTTTTCTCACCCTGCTTCTCTGGCGTCCCCCACCCCTCCAGACCCAGGGGGGCGGGGGTGGGACAACGACCTGGGATCGGCGATACATCGCCGACAATGGCGGCGATAGGCCCCCGGCAGTGGATCCGCACGTTCCTGGGCAGGTTGGGGCTATCGGGCCCCTATCGGCGACCAATGGGCGATTGGGGACCGATGCATCCCTGCACAGGAGGAGGAGGAGGAGAAGGAGGAGGAGAAGGAGGAGGAGGAGGAGGAGGAGGAGGAGGAGGAGGCCCCCCCCCCTGTCCTTGCGCCTCGCCCCCCCCCCCACCCCACCCCTGCGCCCCGTCGGCGGCCAGGCCGCCGCGGCGGCACCGCCTGGCCCGCTGGACCACGCGGCCCCCGGCGGCTCGCCGCCCAGCCTGCCGTCGCCGCCCGGGCCGCCAGCGGCGGCCCCCGCCTCAGCGAGCGCGCGGCCCTCGCAGGGCGCGCTCTCCCGCGGCCATGGCCTCTTACACCGGCGTCGTTTGACTCAAACCCCCCATCCCTGGCCCAGAAGCAAATAGCTCAAACATAAATTGTTGGCGCTCCGCGCGGGTTCTTGGATCTGCGCTGCATCCCCCCTCCCTGGCGCGCGGAGTGCAACAGGAGCGGCGCCGGAGGCGCCGCCGGGGGGGCCCAGTGCGGATCCGAGCTCGTTCGACACCGTTTCGACACTTCTCGGGGTGCTCGAATTTTTACCTAACAGCTTTTGCTGATAGGTTTCTAGTGGTGTCAAAAGAGAGCATCATGACTCCTCAGAGGGGGTCTGGGCGGGTGCCGGGAAGGAGAACCGGGAATCGTTTTTCGCTAGCAGTCACACACTTCGTGCTCTTCGACCTCCCAGAACTCCATTCCCGGGCCACATTCTGGAGAACCGGGAACAGAGCCGGGTTCGCTTTTCGCCAACAGTCAGACACTTCGTGCTCTTCAACCTCCCAGAACTCCATTCCCGGGCCACATTCTGGAGAACCGGGAACAGAGCCGGGTTCGTTTTTCATCGACAGTCACACACTTCGTGCTCTTCGACCTCTCAGAACTCCACTCCCGGGCTACATTTTGAGTGCCCGGAGCCAACTGTAGGCCACTTCGTGCTCTTCGAGTTCCCAGAACTCGATTCCCGGGCCACATTTTGGATGCCCGGAGCCAACTGTAGGCCACTTCGTGCTCTTCGAGTTCCCAGAACTCCATTCCCGGGCCACATTTTGGATGCCCGGAGCCAACTGTAGGCCTTTTCGTGCTCTTCGAGTTCCCAGAACTCCATTCCTGGGCATGATTTTGAATGCCCGGAGCCATCTGTAGGCCACTTCTTGTTCTTCTAGTTCCCAGAACTCTATTCCTGGGCCACATTTTGAATGCTGAGGCAGGCTGATGCTGCGGCCGAGGCAGGCTGAGGCTGAGGCAGGCTGAGGCTGAGGCCGAGGTTGAAGGCAGACTGAGGCTGAGGCTGAAGCAGACTGAGGCTGAGGCTGAGGCAGGCTGAGGCTGAGGCTGAGCAGGCTGATGCTGAGGCAGGCTGAGGCTGAGGCTGAGGCTGATGCAGGCTGAGGCTGAGGCAGGCTGAGGCTGAGGCCGAGGCTGAAGGCAGACTGAGGCTGAGGCTGAAGCAGGCTGAGGCTGAGGCTGAGGCAGGCTGAGGCTGAGGCAGGCTGAGGCTGAGGCTGAGGCAGGCTGAGGCTGAGGCTGTGACTGCGACTGCCGTTGCCGCTGCGACTGTCATCGCGAATGCGACTACGACTGCGAGAACAGCAGAATTCTACAACTGGATTTTCATTTGAATCTTAAGGGGAATGCTTTCAGATATGCTTCTGCATATCGCTGTTAGGTTGCTTTGCCGGGATAGTTTTCTACGATGTCGCTCTTAAGTACGATGGGAGCAACTTAGTCGATTTAGCGTAGACTGTCGTCGATTCGCAGGGGCCGACAAGACTGTATGACATGTTCCCACCGGGGGGGGGACGGCCGCGAACCCGAGGCTACGCTGGCCGCAGGCGCCTCTGCGGCCGCGGCGCCGGAGGGCGGCAGCAGCTCCGAGGATCGGGCGCGTGGTAATGGGGGGGTGACCCATATATATATATATATATATATATATATGCATAATTATGTATATACAGATATATATATATATAGACATATGTATATACATATATATACACAAATATATATGTATAAATATGTGCATATATATGTATAGACATCTACTACACCAGAGAAACAAAACAATCAGTGGATGGTTTGAAATGGGATCGATACAGAGATCGATAAGGAGATCGACTGGGCACCAGGGAACCCGGGAACCCGGAACCCACCGAAATCGGTTCGGAACCAATGACCAGGAACCTTGGAACCCGGAACCGGGAACCCGGGAACCCAGCCGGCTACGACGGGAAATGTTCGCCAAATTTTTCAATTTTCGCTAGGACCCCTCCAGTGCAAGCACTGATTGGGGAATATTCGGAAACTGGAACATATACAGTACCAGTGGCGGGCTGTTTTTCAATCCCAAGATTTTTCGAGGGTCGGGGACGACGCGCGTGGGTCGTGTGTGGTATATTTTTGTTCCCCGATGTTCCGGGGAAACAGCGAAAATGTATACACCAGGGTCCCGTATACACCAGGATCCGCTCCCCAGTGCAAATGTCAATGTAGGGCCGGAAAAAGCGTCGGTGTATAGAGCTCGATTCCCTAAATATGTATGTGGGGGGTAAGAACAGGGCGCTCCTGGCGGCTTTTTCCTCTGCCCCGTGTGGGTTCCCCCCCCCCCTGGGGGACATGCCCGACCCTGACCCTGGCTGGGGACTGGGGACGCCTCGAGCGAGAGGGGATCGGGCGGGTGGTAAGCAATGGGGGGTGACCTGAGTGGGGGGTGAAGAAAGGGACCCTAAGGGGGGCTTCTTTGTGGGCCCCTTGGGGAGCCAGCAGGGGCCCCAGAGGGGGCCCTTTGGGGCCCTTCTCTTAGTGCCTCCTTTAGGGCTCGTTGCTTCCCCCCCCGTGCAGGTCACTCCCCCCCCGAATCGCCCGCCAGCACGGTTCCCTACCTGAGGGCTTTTTCCCTCCCCCCCCCCCCCCGTGTGGGTCCCCCCCCCCTCGCGAGGGCGGCAGCGGCTCGTGGTGCTCCCTGGGCGGCGGGGCGCAGGCGGAGCCCGCTCCGCCTGGGCTCCCCGCGGCCTCGCGGCCTCGGGGCCTTCGGGGCCTCGCGGCCCTCCGGCGAATCGCCCGCCAGCATGGGCCCGGCCCAAATTTCAGACACTAACAGAGCACCCTTGCGAAGTGTATGCTGGATATGGCACGCCACGAACGCTAGCCCCTCTGGCGTTTGGCGGGCTGCTCTTTTCTGCAGTAGTGCTGAGACCGCCGCAATACCCAATTCTACACGCTTCGCGCATCACCACCAGCCCATTCAGAAACGATGTCCAGGCGAGTTGAGATGACCATGGAAGTGCGGGAGCAAAAAGGGGGACGGCCGAACCGTGCGAAGGAGGGAGGAGGAGAAGGAGGAGGCTGGATGGATGGATGAGGGAGTGGGGAGAAGCAGGATGAGGAGGAGGAGGAGGAGGAAGAGGAGGAGGAGGAGGAGGAGGAGGAGGAGGAGGCGGAGGAGGAGGAGGAGGAGGAGGAGGAGGAAGAGGAAGAGAAGGAGTAGGAGGAGGAAGGAAGAGCAGGAGGAGGAGGGCAAGCAAAAGGGCCAGAGGTCTCTTGGATGCCTCTAGGAGCCTTTTGGGTTATCTCTTGGGCGCTTCTTGGTGGCCTCTTGGGACGTCTTGGGGGTCTCTGGGCGGTCCAGGGGGGCTCTTGAGCGTCTTGGGTGCCTCGGGGGGGCCTCTTGGGGCCGCTTAGGGTCCTCTTGGGGGCCTCCTGGGGGCCTCCTGGGGGCCTCTTGGGGCCATCTTGGGACCTCTTGGCGCCCAGGAATCTTGAAGGAAATCGATCAAAGCAGAGGGGAGAGTCAATGAGGGTTGCCCCCCCCTCCCAAGAGGCCAAAATGGAGCCAAAACCATGGCCAAACTGATGAGTTTGGCTTCCTCGTCGAGGCCGTTTTGGGCGCTCTAACTACCCTTGACCGGCCCCGTCCAGGTCCAGGGGAGGGGTTTGGGGAAGGGGTCAAGCTACCCACCCACCCGCAAGCCGTCTAGCTCACTCCCACCCGCCTTCCCTACACATACGTAACACCCGAGTTTGAGCATGTTCAGCGGTCGTCTTTGGATGGATGCCTACTGGGAACCAAAGCCGACCCCAGGTGCGCGACGCTTGGGCGAGGTGCGCCACGCGTACCAAGGGCGCCACGCGTGCCAGGCACCCCTGGGGCCCGAGCGTGCCAGGCACGACTGGTGCGCCAGATGTGCCACGTGCTCCGAGTGCGCCAGGTGTGCCGCACACTCCAGCCGCGCCAGGTGCGCCGCCTTCAGGGCACGTGCAGAGTGCGTCAGGTGCGCCTGCGCACGTGACAGCACACATCGGGAAACATGTCGGCCCTCGCCATACTTGTCGAACACCGATGCCCATCATCATTGTGTCTGGTGGACCTGCGCACAGCAGGCCACGCGCCACCACCCCCGGCGTCCCTGTCAAAAACCACTTGACAGTGATCGCGGGATGGCCTCGCATGATCCAGATTTAGCCGCGAGGTCCATGTTGTATTGTTTTGTGTCAGGGATGGCAGCCCTGCGCACAGCAGGGAAGATGCTGACACCCCCGCCGTCCTTGTCAGAAAAAATGCAAAGTGCTAGCGGGCCTCACGAACATTACTCAAGACTGTGCCCCAAAGTGTATTTTGCATTGTTTTTTGACAGGGATGGTGGGGGGGGCCGCATCGGTCTGGCCGCGCATGCTCCAAATGTGGGGGCAGAGTGCGGCTAATTCCCCAATCAGAGCTTGCCTCTGCAGAGGGCCTAGCGGACTCATACCGTTAGATTCGTTGCGTCGCCGATTTCGGCGGCACGCTCGGGTGCCCGGGTGCCGAGTGCCCCATAGCCCTATAGGCCTATAGCCCTATAGCCGAATAGCTCTATAGCCCAATAGCTCTGTAGCCCTATAGCCCTATAGCCCTACAGCCCTCCATCCCTATAGCCCTATAGCCCGATAGCCCTGTAACCCAATAGCCGTATAGACCTATAACCCTATAGCCCCTATTGCCCTATAGCCCCATTGCCCTATAGCCCAGTAGCCCCATAGCCCAGCTGCCCTATAACCCTACAGCCTTATAGCCCAATTGCCCTATAACCCTATAGCCCTATAACCCTATGGCCATATAGCCCTGTAGCCCTATAGCCCCATATCATTATAGCCCTATAGCCCTAAAAAGATTATGATGGAGGTTTTCTCCGGTATCATGTGGTTTTTGACAGGGATGATGGGGGGCGGGTCGGCACGGTGTCGGCATGGTGTTGGGTTGGCCCCCGGTCGCATGGGGGAGGGGGCGTATAGTAATAAGGAACAGTGATGAGCCCCTCCCCGAAGGGGAAGAAGGGGGATGGAAGAGGAGCCGCCCTGGACCACCTACGCCCCGAGGGCTGGTGGAATTACCACCCGCCCCAGGGAGGGGGGGGACCACATCACCGGGGGAGACCCCGGCCACCGGGGCGGGGCCACCGGGGCGGGGCTCCTCGGGCGCGCCGCAGCGGCGCTCGGCCCTTCGCGCCGCTGCCTTCGCCGCCTCGCCTGCTGCCCCTCGCCCCGCCTCCCCCGACTCGGCATCGCTCGGACGTGTACCTTTTTTGTGCTCTTGGCGAGGACCATCCAGGAGCTCAGCTGCTCTGACACGCACGCTTTGCAAAGTCACACGTGCCGTGTCCAAAAGGTCCGTGCTCACCACGTACGTATTCAGTTTTCGTGCTGAGCTCCGTATCAATACTCCAGGCCTCCTGGATGGGGTCGGAGTAGATGGATGGGGTCGGAGGATCGCGCCGCATCGCCGATACATCGCCGATGTATCGGCGATGCGGCTCGATCCTCCGACCCCATCCAGGAGGCCTCCAAATACGCTACGTGTTGCGTGTTGCGCATCGGGGCGGCCAAGTCCAGGAGAATACCTGGGAGCACCTCGCGGAAACAAAACACGCGCCCAAAGGCGGGACGGACGCCCGAGCGACGGCGTGCTCGGTCCGCGGAGAGCGCTCGGGGCGCCCTGCCCTTCAGGGGGCGGACAAAACATGCACAGCCCGAAGATATTGCACAACGACGGCATGAAACGGTACACATTTGTCCTTTCTAATTCGGGAGCCTTGAGACGGGGGTCAATGCAAACGGGGGTCAGCCAGGGCGCCAGATCATGCAGGATCCTGCGAAGACCCCCTCTGGCTGACCCGGGTTAGCGAGCCGCTCGTGGCCGCGAGGCGGCCGCGCGTATTGGCTGACCCGGGTTTGCGAAGATTTGCGTTGCAGTTTTTTTTTCCTGCATTGCAGTTTTTGGTTTCCTGCTGACCCGGGTCTGGATTGACCCGGGTCAGAAGATCGCCGACTAATTCTTCGAGAATTCTTTGATTTTCCGGGGGGCCAAGATCCGTTCATTTCTACTTGTTCTATCCCGGGCCTCTTCCGGGCCATTCGGGGGCCAGGAACAATTTGAAACGAGCACAATTAGAAATGAGCACGATTAGAAATGGACGACGCGTACAGCCCGAGGACAGAGCACAACGACGGCACGAAACGGCACTGAACTGAGAGATTGCGGAGGGCGTAAGCATCAAGTGCTCTCGGAGATCCGCGCGCCCTTTCCTGGAGCCGCGTGCCAGTCTCCCCAGGCGGCGCCTCTGGCGCCGCCCCCAGCGCGCTCCGCGCGGACCTCCGGGTGTGCCTCTGCTCTCCCTGTGCACTCCCCTCCCAGCGCCCTTCATCTCGAGCTTCGCCTCTGCCCCGCGGCAAGCATGTGTGACGCAGAAGACAGGGATCGTCGTCACCGACATCGGCGCGTGAGCTGCCCGCGGGAGATCGCGCGTAAGCGCGTCGCTGCTAGTGTGGCGTGCCGCGCTGGCGGCCCGCGTGAGCCGCCGCATCAGGTCTCCATGCCATCTCGCGTAAGGCCCGTGTTTTTTTTCGTGACCCCAATGTCGTCTTGAGCTCGGTGTGCTTTGAGGAACTGGAGCCGCTATTTTAAAGGTGCCTCGGTCACCACGTCTTCGCGCCCATGGACTCCATGATGGTCGGCACGACTGCAGCCTAAAGATATTTGTCGCGAAACAAATGCCCTCGTTCAGGTAATTCCTGGTTCGATGACCGCCCACACCCAAACTGTACGAAGTACCTGCGCCCAGCTGAGTTCGGTGATTCCCCCCTCTGGAGTGGGGGTGTCGCCTGGGTGCGCGCTCGCCAGGGCCTCCCCAGCCGAAGTGTGCACACTGGCGCATATGAGCACGGCCGTGAGCGATGCAAACAGGTGGAATTTCCCCTGGGGTACGATCCGTTTGAGTGGTGAGCAAGCGACGCGCGTGTGAGCTCCCCCACCGAGGCCTTCAGTGGAGTTCGCTGTGGGGCGCAATCCGCGGGGGGGGGGGGCACTATGCGGACTGGCCCGTGGATGCTGTAGGCGGAGCTCCTTATATGGGCACGGTCCGCGTGATGTGTGCGCGCGTGTGTTTTACATCACACCAGTTGCTCCCAATTCTCTGCTTTCTACTCCCTTCTTCTAACTTTATGTTCCACTCTCTACTTGCCTTGCTTATGGTATCCAATATTTCTAGTACTTCTGGGAACCAGGATCTTTCTAGTCTCTCTGCCGTCTGAATATGCCATGTGATCGTTACTCTCTGCTCTGTGCTTTTCACGCACCTCTACTCTCTAGTCTCTACGCCCTGTCTACTCATCTCCACTCTCCACAATCTCTCTCCCTCTCTCTCTCTCTCTCCCCCTATCCTTTCTACAAGCTACCACGTTCTTCCCACCTATGCCCTGGACTCTCCAATAGTTTGTGCATATCGCCTACTCTCCAATACCAGATCTCTTCTCTCCGCCGTCTACTCTTCAGTATGCACTCCCAATATGTACCCTCCACTTTCTACTCTCCGTCCGAATGTCGCCACAATCTCAATCTATGCATACACTCTATCTTAACTCCCTCTACAAGCATATCTGCATATACACAGGACTGTACACCCTCAACCCGCTAATTGCCTCCCCGCCATTACGCACCCTCCACCCTCCATCATATACCGTATAGCCTCCACGGTACTGCCGATACGCTGTATAGCATCGTGTATAGAATCCCCCGTCTGCGTTCTACAATCAAGCTCGTTATCCTCAAGTTTTTCTCTGCTGCCGAGCATATGCGTCTCATTTCTTATTCTCTTCAATATCTACATCCAAATCTTTGCTCCCTGCGGTCTGCTGCGTACTTTTTCCACTCCTCCTTCTCCGTCGCCCATTCGTGGACACCCACGGAGCGTTCTTAGGCGATGGTTGATTTAGGTTGTCAGTGTTGGGGCTTCGCCAAACTTGGCTAGGCGTGAGGATTCTGTGTTGTTTGGCAACCATAGTGTGTTGAGTTGGGCCCACGTTTCGAATCAGCGGCGCCTAGCGTCCTTTATTATCGTCCGCCCTCCTTACCATGCTCCCCGCATGTCCGCATCCTCCCCCTCATCATCATCATTACTTCAGCATCAGCAGCATCATCATCACCACCCGTCTCATTATCAGCATCATCATCGTTAGCACCAGCAGCAGCAACACCATCGTCGTCATAGGCATTATAATGTTCATCATCATCGTCATCAGCAGGAGCATCCATACCATCATCATCATCATCATCATCATCATCATCATCATCATCATCATCATCATCATCATCATCATCATCATCATCATTATCATCATCATCGTCATCATCGGCATCATCGGCATCACCATCATCATCATCATCAGCAGCAGCAGCATCATCGTCAGCATCATCACCATCACAACCTTCATCATCAGCATCATCAGCATCAGCATCATCATCCGCATCAGCATCATCAGGGTCACCATCACAAAACATATCATCATCAACAACACCAGCATCAACATCAACATCATTATCAGCATCAGCAGCAGCACCCTCACTAACATCATCACCACCATCAACACACTCAGCAGCATCATCATCAGCGGCACCATCATCACCGTCATCAGCATCATCATCATCAGCATCAGCATCATCATCATCACCATCACCATCACCATCACCATCGCCACAACCATCGCCATCGCCAGAAGTCCCGAGCGGCTGCGTTCGCATGCCGCCACCTCACCAGGCGTTTCGGAGCCCTTCCGGGGGCTCCGCCTGCGGCCCCAGTGGCTTCGCTCGCATGCCGTCATCCCACCGTGTCGGTGCATTCTTCACGCGTCTCGTAGCCTTCATAGATAGCTCCGCATAAGTCCCCAGTGGCTGCGTTCGCATGCCGCCGCCCCACCACTTTGGCGCACCCCTCACAGGCTTCGTGGCCCCCCTGGGAGTTCCGCATAAGGCTCCAGCGGCTGCGCTCGCATGTCGCCACCATCCCACTTCGGCGATGGCGCACCTCGCTTCGTGGCCCCAAAGTGTGCTCCATCGAAGGCCCCGGTGGCAGGAGTCGCATGCGTGACCGCCCCCATGTCCGCACGCCGCTCACACGTGGCCCCATAGGGAGCTCTACATATGGCCTCATCGGCATTTCGGCACACCCCTCGCACGTATCGTGGCCCCATTGGGAGCTCCGCCGAAGGCCCGAGTTGCGGGAATCGCATGGGCGACTGCGCCTATTTCGGCACAGTCCTCGCACGTTTCGCGGCCCCCTGGGGAGCTTTACCGAATGCCCCATCGGCAGACTCATCGCCTGTGTTGGCGCACTCATCGCACATTCTGTGGCCCTGTAGCAGCTCCACCAAAGCCCTTGCCGCCTGCTCCCCAGACCGCGCCCTGCTGCTCCGCAGGGTCGGGCCGACAGACGCTCAGTTCAGCCGTGACGGGTTACATCCAGATGTAACCCGTTGCGGCTGACTTTTGCGACCCCATCAGCAACGTCGCCGCGTCCTTCTCACGTCCGCCGTAGTCGTTTCGCTAGCTAATTCCCTTAGTTTCCATCCACCTGCCTTGCGGCACTCGCAGCTGCAAATGGTTGGGTCATCCGCCAGGCTGATTTACGTCTGCGGGCCCATGAAATTTGGCATGGTGGCTTGCGACACGCCGCCGCAAGACCAGATCAGCCAGAGCATACAACCGCCGTGCCAGGTTTCGTAAGCCCCCCAGACCAGACACACCAAAAACAAAACAACACCTCGCCAGGTTTTGCGAGCCCTGCAGACCCAGAACAAGCTAACAAACAACTCTGGCCAGGTCCTGTGAGCCTCCAGACCAGTCTCCACCTCGTCCTTTTCCGTCCCCTCTTCCCCCTCACTCGGGGCTCCCGCCGCGGGGCCGTGCTTCTTTCGCCCCCAGAGTGCACGGTAGGTCGCACGTCCTCCGAGGCCTTTTGGAGACGTGGTTGTTTTCGATTCTACAGTCGGGGCGCTGAGAAAGGAACCCTTTTCGTTGGGGCGGGGTTCCGTGTTCCTTAGTTGTTTCACAGTCCGCCTTAGGTTTTCCTTTGGTCTTCCATGGGAAAGCGAAGTTCAATGTGTGAAGAAAAGGGGCATCGTTCCTTATTTTGGGTTCCTCAGGTCACCGCCCCGACTGTAGCTCGATGCTCGACCCGACACCGCCTCGCCGCCGCTGCCTCCGCCGCCTTCTCCGCCTCGTTTTCCTCCTACGCTTGCATCGGGCGAAACCTGGGCACCTCCAGCCTGCACGCGGGGCGCCCCTGAGGCGCCCGCGGGAGCCCACCGGGCAGGCACCCGGAAAGGCCGGCCTGACACGCAGGCGACAGTTTGGAACCAGTCAGAAGAGCATGGGTTCGGGGTCGCCTCATGGCGCTAATTTCGCAGAGTGGATCTCGTTCGAAAACTATGGGACGGGTCCATACTGTCCCGGAGAATGTCGTTCCGGATTTCGAGGTGAACTTCGTGCGGGGCTTTTTTGGGCCAGGAATGAAGACTAGACTTGGAATCCACTTCGTGTTTCGCTCGCCGTCTCGGGTTTAGCATTGGCAGAAAACCGCGCACAAATCCGCTGCAGCACGTCTGCAATGTCGGTGCAGTGAGTCGTTGTGTCGCTTCATGATCGTTCTCTCTTGCTCTTCTCTGGTTTCGCTCTTGCAGTTTCACATATATGGTTTCTTCAGTTTCTCTATTTGCCTTTTCCTCCTCCTCCGTGTGTCTTTCCAGGTGGTCGGCACGCTGACATTCACGGACGTCCTACACCCAGCGGTCAGCCGCACCGTCACGGGCACTTCGGCCGCCTTCCGCGTCGTTGGCAGCATGCAAGACGAGGCTTGTATGCGTGGCTTCCTGTCTGATTGTGTTGCTGCTGCTGCCGCCGCCGCTGCTGCCGCCGCCGCTGCTTGTGTTGTTATTGCTCCCATTGCTCGTCTTCGACCTCCTCTTTCTCGTCGTTTATGTTCCTGTCCCTGCTGCTTTTTATTTTGATCCAAGTGTTGCTACTGCTCGTCTTGCTCATACCTGTCATCATTCTCCTCATGCACACCTGCTGCTGCTCATTATCCTCTCCCCCTCCGCCACCTCATCATGTTTCTTCTCTCCTCGTCCTCGTTGGTATCATCCTGCTGCTTGTGCTGCCTGCGGCTTGCACGCAGCAGTCATCTGGAATCCCCATCCGAGCGCACACTGCACTTTTGTAGCTTGGGTTTACCCCCCCCCCTTACAGTCTCGTGGTCAGACAGGCTCCCACGTGTCTCGAGCTCGCATCGAAAGCGGTCCCGAGGGAAAGCGACGTGCCTGCAGAGGGACCAGGGACCAGGGACCGCACGCCGGCCCGGCGAGGAGCGGCAGCACGGGGCACGAGGAACGGGCATGACGCCGCACACGTCTCGGGTTCGCCGGGCTTCTCGGCGGGCCTCGGCGGGCCTCCACGGAGCGTCAGCAGCAGGTGGAGTGGGCCGCTTACGTACGGGTCTGATGCTGCAAGTTGATGTGAATCGGGCTCGGCTCACCTTCGCTCGCCCTGCCGCTTCGCTGTCGAGAGCAAAGGCACGCTGGGCACGAGGGGCAATTGGACCGCAAGCATGCGCAGGGGATGGGCGTTGGGAACGGTACAGGGGTGTCGTATGGACGTGCAGTCAGTTCTCTAGACAACGAGGCTGACAGCAAGCCATGTCTGAGCCCGGATGCTTCGTTTCACACGGCGTCGGAACGGAGCAACGAAGCCAGAGAGCTAGTCGAAAACCTTCGAAACCCTGGGAATTTGTGTTTGATCTGTCCGGGTTGGTACGGGAGGCTGGTTGTGGCAGGCTAGCCTAGGTTACCCACGCTGTTGTTGATACAGTGCCGCTGCCTCCAATGCAGCTGCTGCTGCAGCTCCACAAATGGCGCACCCACCTTGCAGCCGTTCTGGTTCGAGCTCTATTGAGCCAAGAGTCTGGCTGCTGGCAGGAGCACCTGGCCGTGAGGGGCTCTCCGGTGCCGTCACCCTGCAGCTGGACGCCACCGCCCTCCGCACCTTGAGAGTATCGGGGTGTCTTTCCGCGGGGCAGTGATCAGGCATGACGCCCGAGGACGACGTGGACGACGGACGCCATCCTGGGAACGAAATCGCGGCAACCCTCACAGATGCCTCACTGTGCAGCGGGCACATCGAATATGAAAGCAACGTCGGCCTGCCAGCCGGTGCCCCACGGACATGCCTTGTCCCCGATGGTGGAGACCCGTTTCCGCTTCCCTTGCGCCCATTGTTCGGGCATGGGCAGAACGCTCCCCCAGACACGTCGACTGAGGAAATCTGCACGGGTTTGCTCGACTGGGATTCGAGAGTACTGGTGCAGTCCCCAGCCGGTTTCTCTAATCGACGTGCGTTTCTCTGGATACAAGTTGTTGTTTTTCGTTGCGATTTGCTACCCCACTGGAGTGCATTCGAAATGCGGTGCCGTGCGCACGTGGAGTGCCCCTAGCAGTTTGAACGAGAGGGCGTTTTGCTAAAGGGGGTCCCGTCAGTCCCCGAACTGATTCCCTCAGCCTCTCTGTCGGGGCGCTTGCTTTCTCTCGGCTGGCTGCCAGTGGGGACGTTCCGCCGACCTTTTTCGGGCAAGTTTCCCGGATGCAAGGTCCGAGTGGTTGGTTTCCCGCTTGTATATTCGTGGCCTCTTGACTTTCCTCGTTTGGCCAGGTCCCAGGCGAACTGCGAAAATCTTACTTTGGCCCAATTCGTGGTTTGCCAATTGCCAGAGGCCTAGAGGGGGGTCCGCCGAGCAGAATTCACAAGCCTCCTGGGTTCTCGTTTTGAATAGAGCACCGTGGTCTCCACCTCCTCTCCCGCCTCCCTTTTCCTCCCTACATTTAAGTCGGGCCCGTCCCTCTACAGGAGGGATATGCAAAAAATAGCCCAAACATGGTATGGGGACGATTTTTCAGCATTGGTTTTATTATGGTGGGATATCTTTTGAATCTTGTTTTATTGTTGGTCCAAAATCCCCCTGCAGGGGGACGCCCGACTTGGCCCCACATCCCTCCTCCTGCCGTCTGCCCCCTCCTCCTCCTGCGCTGTGCCCGGCTGGTTGCCAACTGCGCAGCCGTCGCCACGCGTTCGTGGGCTCCTGGGAGGCGCGGCGGAGGTGAGGGCAGCGGGGATCCGTGTGAGGCCTCGCTGCCCCCTCCAGTGCGACGAACTGCGCAATTGTCGCCACTTCCATGGGCTCCTGGGAGGAACTGCGGAGGTGCAGGGCAGTGGGGATCTCGTTGAGACCGCGCAGCTCCCTTGGGGACTGCGGTCGGTGCAATTGGCGCCACTTGTCGTGGGGAGGCACGGCGGAGGTGAGGTTTCTTAACCATAATGTGTGTTTTTTGTATACAGCGTTCGTAGGAGTAGTCGCATCGCGTGTAGACGGGTTTGGGTGCGTCTCGGACAATGTTCAGTTTATTCTCGGTGCTAACGAGATCGCTGGGGGGGGGTGCGTCCTTATGTTAGTGGTCTGCTGCCCAGCTCGCGACCGAACCTGCTCCTGTGGACCACGCTGTTGATGGGGCTGTTTGTGGGCTCTCGTGGTGAGGAGGGGGGCCATGCTGTGATCCTCTTAGGGGCTCGGGGCTCGCTTGCAGTGATCTTGGGGGGCCCCTTCGTTCGCCGCTGATGCCAGTACTTCCCTCGTCAAGGTGGGAGTGTGCGAGTCGTTTAGTTTTGACAGTGTTCAGCGATTTTTGCTTCGTGGGTCCTTCCCAGAGTCCCCAAGACGGCCCTGTGGACTCGTTGAAGACCCCAAGGCTCAAGATGAGCATGAACAAGTTTCAGTATCGAGCTGAATCATCGATTCCTCCTTGGCTTCTAAATTGTTTGACCTCTGGGGGGGGGGCGTATTTGAGTTGCTGCGTGACCACTCGTAGCCATCTTGGGAGGGTTTCGCGGTCTCTCCGAGGTATGCTCGACGCCGTTGGGGGCCATCTTGGGCCATCTTGTACACTCCAACGACCAGCGCCCCCCCCCCAGTGCAGGGGGTATGGGGGAGGGGCAAACACCTACCAAAGGGGAGGGAGGGAGTTGGAAGACCGAGCATCCCAGACCACCTACGCCCTGAAGGGCAGGTGTGATCACAATCCCTGGCGATCCATCTACGAATCCAAGCTGTATGAACATTGGAGCACTCCGCTGCGCGTTTAAGGCACCTTGGCGTATACGCCAAACGAGTTAGAAGCTCCTTTGCGGGTCTCACGAGGTCCCCGACTCGGAGGCCTGGAATTCTGAGAGAATCTTTGGAAGACGCTGAGCGGTGAGAATCCGATATGTCCTTGCCGCTCTTTCTGGGCCTGTAAGAGATGAAGTGTTTAATTCAGAACAACTAACACACATAATTCGCGCTAGGTTGCAATATATGCGCGGCGAGGAGAGGTTGTGGGTTTGGGGTGGGGCGGTTGGCTAGGCTGTCTGCGCGCGTGGCGGCGGTGGCGGCGGGACCTGGGACAGACCTCCTGCTTGGGCGGGCACGCACGGACTGCACCTGCGACGCATGATCCTCGAGAGGATGCACCCGGAGCGTTCGTAGACGCGCCATTGTCGGGACCCGGGGCGCACCATATTCTTTTGGCCGCGATAGATGGGGTGGGAGGCGATCAATGGAAGGCAGCGGGGGCTGCCGAAAAGGGGCCCGCCCCGAAGGGGGCCCCTTAGGGCCCAGGAGGGGGCCTTGAGGACTCGAAAATGAAACCTTTCTCTCCCCCCCCCTCCACAATGTATTGCCCCCCATTTCCAGACATCCGGCCGCTCCACTTTTTCCGATGCGCATGCCCCGGAGCCCCGGAGGTCTGGACCAATTTTTCGTCCCGGGTCGTTCTTGACGGTCCCGAGGCCCGGCGACTGCCCCTGGAGGCCGAAAACGGGCAAAAACCGCCCGCTCCGTTTCTTGCCGAGCGTCGGATCTCCGGACTTACTCGCGCCCAACATTATAAAACGCTCCGGAACGCTCTGAGAAGGCCGCGGCGCTGGAGACATCTTCTAGAGCCGCCAGATCTCAGGAATGTTCGATTTATTCCCATCCGAACTTGTCCTCGGCCTTGCTTTGCCCTATATTCATCCTGGAGACTGTTTTTTTAAGTGTCAGGCGACAACCCGGGTTATCGGGCTTGCCCCCCCTCCCCCCCCCGTCCAGGATAACCTAACCTTGCCAGTTGTGCAGGTCCGCGGGGGGGGAGGGGGGCGCGGGCATATGCAGAGCTGCCCACAGCGCGAGGGTTAGGTTATCGGCCGGCCCCCTCCTCCCCCCCGGGATCACCCGGGTTATCGCCGATCCAGAAAAACGGCCTCCAGAGCCGCCAGATCTCAGAAATGCTCGATTTATCCCCATCCGACATCATCTTCGTCCTGGCCTCGCCCTGTGATGATCCTGGGGGGAAGAGAAAGTGGGCCCCCGACCCCTGGCAGAAGCCTCCCTGCAGCGAGGCCCCTCGGCGGGGTGGGCCCGGGATGGGCGGGCGGAGGCAGGGCCCGGACCTCTGGCGGAGGCCTTCCTGCAGCGAGGCCCCTCGGCGGGCGGGCCCGGGATTGGCGGGCGGAGGGGGGGCCCCTCGCGGATGTCGTCGCGCAAGGGGGAGCCTTCGGGCAGCCGGCCTCGGGCCCTCGTGGGGCCGCCGTGTGCGGAGTGGTCGGGGGCACATCGCTGCCTGGCCCGGGGCGCGAGGGAGGGCAACCTTGTGGAAGCCGATCGATGGGGAGGAAGCGCGTTTTCCAGATAGTTTCCAGGTGTCTCAAGCACGTGTTAGACATGTCTTAAACATGTAACAGAAGCATATGTGTAAGATGTCTAGAACAAGTGTAGTACATTTCTCAGCCATCTCAAACACATGCTTAAGTCAATGATAGGATGGTTAGAGTGTCCACTGTCATGGCATCCACAAGGGTAGCCCCCCCGACGCAAGCGGGCCCAATGGGGTCCCCCGATCGCCGAGCGCGAAGCGGTGGCAACGGCTTGCGCGCCCGGGTTTGGCCACCACTCGTCCCCCCTCCTAGAAGTCGCACTCTCTAGAGGCCATTCGTGCCTAGGGTCACCTTTACTTGGGAGATTTGACGAGAAGGCGGCGACGTGACATGGACGCATATACTTCTGCGAGCAGCATTCGGAGGGTTCGCAGCTCCCCAATCAAGGGGAAAACGATGAGTAACTAAGTGACACCATGAGTCACTAAGGGAGACGCAAGGTCCAAAAGGAGACAGTGGGCAAGGGGCTTGAAACGTCGGCGGGGCAGCAACAACATGACATGGCCGCCCAGGGACGGGGAGGTCTCGCTCAGGTCTGCGCGGTCCCTCACTCCGCTGGACCCCCGCCAGCAGCACTCGAAAGTGGCGACAGTTTCGCAGATCGCAGCCACCCATGGACGGGGAGGTCTCGCTCAGATGAGCGCAGTGCCCCACTCCGCTGGACCCCTCGAAAGCGGAGACAGTTTCGCAGATCGCAGCCCCCGACGGACGGACGGGGAGGTCTCGCTCATCCGCGCGGTGCCTCACTCCTGTTGGACCCACCAGCAGCCCTCGAAAGTGGCGACAATTTCGCAGATCGCAGCCCCCCAGGGACGGGGAGGTCTCGCTCAGATGAGCGCGGTGCTCACTCCGCTGGACCCGCCAGCAGCCCGAAAGTGGCGACAGTTTCGCAGATCGCAGCCCCCCAGGGACGCGGAGGTCTCGCTGAGATCCGCGCTGTGCCCCTTTCCGCTGGACCCACCAGCAGCCATCGAAAGTTGCGGCAGTTTCGCAGATCGCAGCCCCCCCAGGGACGGGGAGGTCTCGTTCAGATCCGCGCGGTGCCTAATTCCGCTGGACCCACCAACAGTCCTTGAAAGTGGAGACAATTTCGCAGATCGACGGGGAGGTCTCGCTCAGGTCTGCGCGGTGCCTCACTCCGCTGGACCCGCCAGCAGCCCTCGAACGTGGCGACAGTTTCGCAGATCGCTCTCCCCAAGGACGTGGAGGTCTCGCTCAGATCCGCGCGGTGCTTCACTCTGTTGGACCCACCAGCAGCCCTCGACAGTGGCGACAGTTTCGCAGATTGCAGCCCTCCAGGGGCGGGAAGGTCTCGCTCAGATCCGCGCGGTGCCTTACTCCGCTGGACCCGCCAGCAGCACTCGAAAGTGGCGACAGTTTCGCAGATCGCAGCCACCCATGGACGGGGAGGTCTCGCTCAGATTCGCGCGGTGCCTCACCCCGCTGCATCCACTTGCAGCCCTCGAAAGCGGCGACAGTTACACAGATCGCAGCCCCCCAAGCAAGATGCACACACACACACACAAGAGGGAACGCAGGCAAGATGCACACACAAGAGGTACGTACAAGGCAAGAGGAGACAAGAGGGAGGCGGGAGGAAGGACGAGCGAGCAGTGCTCTATTCAAAACGAATGCCCAATCAGTAAATATTGGGGACAACTCGCATGGATGTCCTAAGGAATCCTATGGATGTCGTAAGGAATCCGATGGAAGTCCTCTGGCATCTTGTGCAGTTCCTACGACATCCTAAAGCTGACATTTTCCGATTGAGCAGCTTATGGATGTCCTAAGACATCCTGTGGATTCCGTAAGGAATCCGATGGATGGAATTCCTGAGGAGTCCGATCGGTTTTTTAAGGAGTCCTAAGGAGTTCCGAAGGAATTCTATGTATTTCGGAGGATCCCGAAGGATTTCCTAATGATTCCTATGGAGCGTTCAGGAACAGGTTTATCATCATCATCAACATCAGAATCATCATCATCATCATCATCATCACCATCATCATCATCATCAGCATCATCATCATCATCATTTCCATCATCATCATCAGCATCATCATCATCGTCATTATCATCATCATTATGTTGAGATGTCTGGGAAAACGTTTATTATCCCCTCTGGACCCCGACCTTTCTTTATCATCCTATGGGGATTAATATCAGGGGCAGTAGGTTATCAAAGAGAAGACAGCCGTGCATCCATGAAGGACGCGTCGGCAGAACACGTAACCAAAGCGTTGCCGGAGTCGGCGCTTTTGGGAGGGGAGAAAGAGGGAAGGAAACAGGGAGAGCACAAAAGGCTTCAGATACTCACATGATCCATTACGGATTGTATAAGGACTTTCGGATGCAACTCCGGGGAGGTCAATTTCTGATTTTGCCCTGGTCCGAAGTCCGGCTTAATCCGGCGCAATCCCGCTTAATCCCGTTTAATCCGGCTTTCTCCCACGCAATCCGGTTCAATCTTGCTTTGTCCGAGGCCATTCCGGCGTACTAGCCCACCAATGGGGCTTAACCCTCCTTAATCTTTCCGACGAAGACCTCCCAGTAGTTGCCCCCTGACAGACTTCGCCCACTCCTCATCGAATGACTCCTTACCCAGTGCCTTCACCGAGGCTGGACTCGTCGGCGGCGCGCCGGGGGGGGAGGAGGGTGGGAGCCGGGTAGTCTCGGGGGAGGCTCATAACGCCTCCCCAGCCTTCTAAGGCCGGCAGGCCTTCCTAGAATCAAGCAGGGGCGAAGCGTCCTGGCTCGCTTAAAACCCTACCAAACACTGTTCCAAGCACCTTACGTGGTTTCCACGAAATGTGTTTCGAACATTTCTGGTGGAGTCTCTTGTTTTATCACATCGGCTTCATGTTCTAAGAACATTGTTTTTGTTCTTAGATCGTTCTGGGGGGTTCTGAGAGCATTTCGTGGTAGGACTATAGGAATGTCGGGACGGTCGGGCCCTGCTCAACAGAAGGCCCGCCGCCTTTTGAGAGACACCTCCGCCTTCCCTCCGAAGCCCCGCAGCCTTTGAGAAGACCTGCCCCCTCGCACTTTCCCCCGCCACCCCAGGGCGCGCCGCTGAAATTAGCTCTGATGCCCAGGGTACCGGGACGGTGACGACGACTCCAGGCAAGATTCCGAGGACGAGGATTCGGAGCAGGCCGACTGGGACGGCGACGAGGACCGGGAGCCCGGCCCCGAGGAGGCTCACCTGCTCGGCTCTCCCGAAGATCGGACGGCCCTGAGAGACGTCTTGCGGCAGTTCAGCCGTGATGACCTCGCCGACACCGGCGACGACGTGGTGGCTGCCATCCGCACACAGATCCACCAGGTCAGCGCGTTTCAGCGCCGCTTGCGAGTTTGCCTGTCGTGCGGTGCTTATCGGACAAGCCGAAGTCCCGCTTCCACAATGGAAGACTCGCTTCACATATCTAGGCTTCGTCCGAGTAGATGGGGTCGGAGGATCGCGCCGCATCGGCGATGCGTCGGCGATGCGGCTCGAAGCGCAGCCCGTGTTTCCCCACACCGACGTCGTTGATGTATTGCCGACGTCGCCGATGCATCGGCGATGCATTGGCGATGCAGACGATCCTTCGGCCCCATCTACTCAGAACCCACCTAGGATCTATGATTAAGTCGGGGGCGTCCCTCTAGAGGAGAAATTCTCAAAAATAAGAATAAAAAAAGAAGAGAGAATAGTCTGGGGACGATTTCCTGAGTATGATAATATCCATAAGGGCTTCGCCCCATGCCGCCGGCCCCCTGTTTCGGACAATGGGAGATGCAAAAGCTAAATCATGAGGTCTGGGCGCCGCCGGGAAGCAGTGTCGGGCCCTGTTTGTTTTTGGACCCTGACCCTACGGATCTGTGTGAGGGGTGCCGCCGAATCTGAGACATGTGGCAAATCCCCTGTGTTTTTGGACCCTGACCCTGCCGACCTGCGTGAGGGCTGCCGCCGAATTTTAGAAATGTGGCAACTCCCATGTGTTTTTGGACCCTGACCCTGCCGATCTGCGTGAGGGGTGCCAGCTAATTTCAGAAATGTTGCACATCCTATGTGTTTTTGGACCCTGACCCTGCCGATCTGCGTGGCTACCGAATTTCAGAAATGTAGCAAATCCTTTGCTTTTTTAGACCCTGACCACGCCGATCTGCGTGAGGAATGTCAAGGAACAGTAAGAAGCAAGAAGCCAGACTGTAACAGTGGAAACTGGAAGCTGCAACTGGTACAGGAAACTGCGAACCTTCGCCCTACAGCCGGGTGGCCCCACAAGGGAGCCGGCGGATTTTGCTTACATATATATATATATATATATATATATATATATATATTAGAAATTGCCCTGACGATGTACCCAACCCCTGCGCAAATGCGGGGCGAAAGTATTTTAGGACGCTTGATAAGGGGGGCGATGACGGAGCGAGGGTTACATATGTCTGCAGACGGAATTCGGGAGACTCGCAGGACACTGGCTACAGGACAAGGACTAGATAAAGCTGGTTACTTACAATCCCTGAGCAACCCTAGCCACTTCGAAAGCGGGGATCTCAGATCGCACCCCCCCAGGGATGGCGAGGTCTAATTTCGGTCCGCGCGTGGCGTCACTGTGCTGGGCCCCCCAGCAGGCCTCGAAAGTGGCGACAATTTCACAGATCGAATCCCCACAGGGATGGCGAGGTCTACTTTGGGTCCGCGCGTGGCGTTATTGTGCTGGACCCCACAGCAGGCCCCAGCAGGCCTCGAAAGTGGCGACAGTTTCACAGATCGCAGCCCCCCAGGGATGGCGAGGTCTACTTCGGGTCCGCGCGTGGCGTCACTGTGCTGGCCCCCCCAGCAGGCTTCGAAAGTGGCGACAGTTTCACTGATCGCAGCCCCCCAGGGATGGCGAGGTCTAATTTGCGTCCGCGCGTGGCGTCACTGCGCTGGGCCCCCCAGCAGGCCTCGAAGGTGGCGACAGTTTCACGGATCGCAGCCCTCCAGGGATGGCGAGGTCTAATTTGGGTCCGCCCATGGCGTCACTGTGCTGGGCCCCCCAGGAGGCCTCGAAAATGGCGATAGTTTCACAGATCGCAGCCCCCCAGGGATGGCGAGGTCCAGTTTGAATCTGCCCGTGGCGTCATTGTGCTGGGCCCCCCAGCAGGCCTCGAAAGTGGCGACAGTTTCACAGATCGCAGCTCCCCAGGGATGGCGAGGTCTAATTTGAATCCGCTCGTGGCGTCACTGTGCTGGGCCCCCCAGCAGGCATTGAAAGTGGCGACGGTTTCACAGATCGCAGCCCCCCGGGGATGGCGAGGTCTAATTTGAATCCGCGTGGAGACAGTTTCACAGATCGGAGCCCCCAGGGATGGCGAGGTCTAATTTGAATCCGCCCGTGGCGTCACTACGCTGGGCCCCCCAGCAGGCCTCGAAAGTAGCGATGGTTTCACATATCGCAGCCCCCCAGGGATGGCGAGGTCCAGTTGAATCTGCCCGTGGCGTCACTGTGCTGGGCCCCCCAGCAGGCATCGAAGGTGGCGGCAGCTTCACAGATCGCAGCCCCCCAGGGATGGCGAGGTCTAATTTGAATCCGCCCGTGGCGTCACTGTGCTGGGCCCCCCAGCAGGCCTCGAAAGTGGCGACAGTTTCACAGATCGCAGCCCCACCGGGATGGCGAGGTCTAATTTGAATCCGCCCGTGGCGTCAATGCGCTGGGCCCCCCAGCAGGCCTCGAAAGTGGCGATGGTTTCACAGATCGCAGCCCCCAGGGATGGCGAGGTCTAATTTGAATCCGCCCGTGGCGTCACTACGCTGGGCCCCCCAGCAGGCCTCGAAAGTAGCGATGGTTTCACAGATTGCAGCCCCCCGCAGGCAAGACAGGAGGAGGCAAGAGGGAGGCGGGACGGGAAGGAAGAAAGAAGTGGAGACCACACTGCTTTATTCAAAACGAATACCCAACCAATGAGGGTTGGGAAAAACTATTTCTGATTTCCGTCCGACCGAAATTTAGGAGGCCTCTAATGTTGGAAGGCTCGCTTCTCAGGCGGTCGCAAACATGGATCAAGCGGGCGTGGATTAGCGACGGGTCCAGCGTCGGAGGGGAAATCGCGGATTTCCGCCGCCAAACGAGGCGGCGCCGGCCGCATTTTGGGAAGGGCACCTCCCCCGATCCATGTATTCGGCGACCGCGCGCCAAATCCATGGATCGCTAATCTATGTTTGTGCGGCCCCGAGCTTCAGTTTTTTCGTCTGACTTCGGACCAGAGGATTTTTTAACTTGCCCGATGGACGCCGCTGTGACCTGACCACAGCACCACACCAGAGGATATATTAAACAAGCATGGCCGCGAGGACTGCTGGAGTGAGTTCTTGTTTGCTTGAAAAAAACTGCCAATGCGCTGGCCAATGGCCCGCCCATGCCCTGCCGCGGCAAGTTGGACCCGTGGCCCTGGGTTCCGCGTTCCGCGGCGAGCGTTCTGCGATTCGGTTTCGGGCGCGTCTTTCTGCAGGAGGACTTTTCAAAAATAGTCAGAAACATAGTCTGGGGACGATTGTTTTAGCATTTTTTTATTATTTTGGAATGTGTTTGAACTGTTTTTCAATTTTCGTCCAAAATCCCCCTGTAGGGGGACACGCCCGACTTAATTCTACGATTCGGTCGGGCATGTCCCTCTGCAGGAGGGCTACCCAAACATAGCACAGAAATATTCAAACATAATTAGTACTAGTCAACAGATACACATGGTTCATTTTTAACGTTTCGGAAGTTTTTTGATTTCTTGGGGGGCCAGGATCCTTTCATGTCTACCTGTTCTATCCTGGGCCCCTTCCTGGCCACCAGGGGGCCAGGAACAATTTGAAACGAGCACAATTAGATATGAGCGCGATTAGAAATGAACGACGGGTCCCTCTGCAGGAGGACTATCCCAAAATAGTAAAGACATGATCAAACATATTCAACACTAGTCAGCAGAGAGTGTTTTGCGGACCGTCATTCGTGACATTTTCGTTGCGTGCCCCCGCTTCTGTATCAGTCTGTCGCCTCTCGAACCCAAAGCGGTGAGATTTAGCTTCTCTGGCTCGCATCCCGACACGCGTGCAAGGTGGTTGGCATCGTCGCGGTCCCCCCCCCAAAAAAAAATCAGACATAGTTTGGGGACGGTTTTGTGAGTATTGTTGAGCATGCTTGGAGTATGTTTGGGCTATTTTTATTTTTTGTCCAAAAGCCCCCTGTGGGGGGACAGGCCCGACCAAATTCTACGATGTGAATGCGCCACTTCGGCTTGTTGCCGTCTGCTCTTCCAGCCGCCAGAGGGCCAGGGGGTGATGATGCTCACTAGGAAGGGCCGCGTCATCAACGCTGGCATGAACTCGCTCTCCGAGGCGCGGAAGGTGACCGCCTACCTCTGCAAGATCTTGTGCAACCTGGCCCTGATCGGCGCCGTCCTGTTCATGGCCTTCATGGTCGGGTCTCGCCATGTCCATGTGCAGGCCAAGCTAGTGGTCGCCAGGGGCAGGAAGCCATTCACTTACTTGCAGAGGAGCCTCATCCAATCCTCTCCCACCCCGCCCTTCTCCCTCAAACCTCCCTTATTTGGCATGCTTTCCTTTGACTTATCGAAGGCGCCGACGGCGGATCACCGCCGCCCCTTGCCTTTCTGTAAGCGCCTATGTGGCCGAAAGTTGGGCTAGAGCTTGGCCAAGCTATCGAACCATGTTTTCCCCGAGTTGGTTTGGAAAGCCTTCGGGTAACACGTGGGGCAGAAAGAAGAAGGGGTGGCGAGGGAGGAACAAGGAGGAGGGAGGAGGAGGCCTCTTGTGAGCTTCTTGGGGCACTCTTGTGGCCTTTTGGGGACTCCTGGGAGCTTCCTGGAGGCTTTTTGAAGGCCTCTTGGGGGGCCTCCTTGGGCCTCTTGGGGGCCTCTGGGGGCTCTTTGAAGGCTTCTGTGGCCGTCTTAGGGCGTTCCTGGCCCGTCAGACGCCGTCGGAAGCCGTCTTGGAGGCTTCTCTGAGCCGACTTGGGGCCCTCTTTGGGCGTTTCAGGGCCGTCTTTGAGGCAATCTAGGGCGTCTTGGAGGCATCTTGGGTCGTCTTGGGGCCGTCCTGGGAACGTCGTGGGGGCCTGTTGAGCCGTCACGGCGCCATCTTGGAGGCTTCTTGGGCGATCTTGGAGCTAGCTTGAGGGCATCTTGGGCCGTCCTGGGCCGTCGGAAGGCCGAAAAGATGGAAATACCAACATCCTTCAAACACCTAAGGAAATTAATTGATGTTGCGTTCTTTGGCCCTTCCAGGACCACCTCTTGGAGGCCTCTGGGGCCATCTTGGGGGCATCTTGGAACAATCGTGGGCCACCTTCGGCTCTCTTGGGGATATCTTGGCCGTCTTGGAGGCCATCTTGGCCGTCTTGGAAGTCATCTTGGCAGTCTTGAGGTGTCTTGGAGGCCATCTTGGGCGTCTTGGAGGCCTCTTGGGCCGTCTTGGGGCTCTCTTGGGGCTGCCTTGGTGGCCTCTTGGACCGTTCTGGAGCCATCTTGGAGGCCTCCGGGACGACTTTGAGGACTCCTTGGGCCGTCTCGGGCGGCGGGAGGAAAAGCCCAAATCCTTCAAATACCTATTGAACATTGACGATTTTGGCTCCCTCGGGCCTTCCTGGAGCACCTCTTGGAATCCTCTGGGGCCATCTCGGAACCTCTCGGACCCATCTTGGGCCATCTTGGCCGTCTTAGCGGCCATCTTGGCCGTCTTGGAGGTCATCTTGCCCGTCTTGGAGGCATCTTGGAGGCCATCTTGGCCGCCTTGGAAGCCATCTTGGGCATCTTGAAGGCCTCTGGAGCCGTCGTGGCGCCCTCTTGGGGCCGTCTTGGGGGCCTCTTGGGCCGTTATAGTACCATCTTGGGGGCATCTTGGGCGATCCTGGGGCGACCATGGGGGCCTCTGGGGCCATCTTGGGAAGGCGGAAGGCCGAAGAAGCGCAACATCCAAAATCCTTCAAAAACCTACGGATAATCATTGATTTTGACATCTGCGGGCCTTCCTGGAGCAGCTATTGGGAGCCTCTGGGATCGTCTTGGAGGCCACTTGGTAGCCTATTGGTCCATCTTGGGCCGTCTTGGAGCCATCTTTGGGCCATCTGAGCTGTCTTGAAGGCCATCTTGACCATCTTGGACGTCTCTTTTTGGCCATCTTGGGCCATCCTGGCGGTCTCGAGAGCCATCTTGGCCGTCCTTAGAAAAACTTGTACGCAAATTCCGGTTGTTTGCGCGGCCTTGCGCGTGAGGGGCAACGTAGCGGGTACTCACTAACGGGTATTTTGGAAAGTTACCGAACGTTGCCTCTTTAGGACCTCTTTCCGGCATTGCAGCGTTGCCCACATCGGAAATGGTTGGGTTCGCCTGGTCACTGGCCAAAGTACCCGTCAGTGGAGTCCCCGTTGAATGGGCCCTTAGTGCGGCTCTCCGGGACCCCCGCGAAACGGGCCGAAGCCCCAGGGAGTTTTCGGAAAGAACCCATGCCGTCGAGGATCTCTCACGCCCGGCCCCCCTGTGGCAAGCCAACCGGGGGCGGCGGATGACGGAAAGCGCGCGTTAGCGCGCGGTCCGTTAGTCGGGAGAAATTGGACTTGGGGGAGTTCGAGGGGGTTGGCATCCGCGGGCCCGGATCTAATTGCCCTCCCGCCTCGTTTTTTCATCGAGTAGGACGGCCTTCGGGGCTTAAAAACAGCGTTTCGCTCGAGGCATCATCGGAGAACGCCTCTTGGGCGCTGCTTGGGCCGTCTTAGGCGCCTAAGACAGCCCAAGAAGCGGCCAAGACGGCGCCCAAGACGGCCCAAGACGGCCCAAGAAGCGCCCAAGACGGCCCAAGAGCGCTCCAAGAGAGCCCAAGACCGCGCAAGGCGGCCCCAAGACGTCAAGGGCCCCACGAGGCCAAAATCATTGATTTTCTCAGGGAAACGTACATTTCTAGCATATACGGCTTTTCGCCTTTCATGGCGTTGAAGACGGTCCAAGATGTTCCCAAAGACCGCCCCAAGACGGCTCAAGATGTTCCCAAGAGGTTCCCCAAATAGCCCAAGAGGGCGCCAAGACGGGCCAAGAGGCGCCCAAGACTGTCCAAGAGGCCCCTAAGAGCGCCCCAAGAAGGCCCAAGAGGCCCCCAAGAGGGCCCAAAAACGGCCCAAGAGGGCGCCAAGACGGCCCAAGAGGCGCCAAGACGGCCCAAGACTGCCCCAGGACGGACCCAAGAAGGCCCCAAGAGGCCCCCAAGAGGGCCCAAAGACGGCCAAAGGCAGCCGAGTCCCTTCACCCCCGCCACCCAGAAGCTCCCAGGAGACCCCAAGAGGCCCCCGAGAAGCCCCAAAAGGTCCCCAAGAGGCACCCAAGAGGCTCCCCAAGAGCCCCCCCAGAGGCCCATAATACTCCCAAAGGCTCTTAGCACCGCGGCTCCCAAGAGCGAGCGGTGACGTAATCGAGCTGATAAGACCAAAGCTCCCAACAGAGAGCTGCGGCGTAATAAGTTCTTGACGCCAGGGCACAGGGACGGGCGGCAACGCGTGGACAACGAGCGGTCCACGCAAGGAAAACGCGGGGTTCTGGAAAGCTGGCAGCCCAAACGCGGAAAACGCAACGCGACCCGACCGCCCCCTCCAAAACAAGAAACGCGCTCAAAGAAAGCTCCGCGACTCTCCGAGGCTGAGACAGGACAAGAGCGAGGGGAAGGGAGTCAATAAGAGGTGTAAGAGCGGACGAGCCAGCGATCTCGTGCGCTCTGAAAGTAAGTGCGCTTTCCGTCCCCGTGCCAAGCAGGTGACGGAAAGAGCGAGGTACGAGCGAGTGACGTTGAGTAGGGGGCGAAGCCCTTCTTAGGGGGGGTCCAGGGGGGGTGCGTAGCCAAGACGGAATGGTCAAATGGCCCGTTACGCTAGTAGTTTTTCGAGTGAAGCGGCTCCCGGGCGGCTCCCATGGCCCGCTTCTTCCCCAGACGGGCCCAAGACGGCCCAGAGGCCCCAACGGTCGTCCCAAGACGGCCCCGAAGGTGCCCCAAACGGGCCCAAAACGGTCCAAGAGGGCCCCCAGACGGGCCCAAGACGGCCTAAGATGCCCCAACTATCATCCCAAGACGGCCCCAGAGGCGCCTCAAAGGGGCCCCAAACGGACCAGATGGCCCCCAGACGGCCCCAATACAGCCAAGAGGGCCCCGAGGGCCCTAAGAGAGCCCAAGAGGGCCCCAACAGGCCCCCCAGCGCGCCCGAAGAGGAGGAGGGGGAGGGGGAGGAGGAGGAG